ATGCGATATTCTGGGAAATATCAAGCGACCAGAACCCCAAGAGACCAGTCAAGCAGTCTAACATCGTTGGTTGGAAGGTAAAATCTTTTGACCCAGAAGCATTACTAATAGCCCTCGATGGTGATCCGATCAACACTGGATGTGCAGAAGAACAGACTAAAGACCTGATGAGGAGAGTAACACATGCTTGTGATGCCAGTATGCCTCGTAAACGTGGCATAAATTCTAAATCTTCGGTGCATTGGTGGAACGACCACATCAGCGTCCTCCGTAAAGAGTGTCATAAGAAAAGAAGAATCTCTCAGCGCGGCAATCAACGGCCCAACTCAGTGGAGCTGATCGCAGAGTACAAGAGGGTGCGCCGTGAACTGAATAAAGCCATCAAAGAGAGCAAAAGAAGATGCTGGAAAGAGCTTATATACGAAGTGGATAAAGACGTGTGGGGTAGGCCTTATAAGGTGGTTATGACCCACCTGAAAAAACAACAAATGCCATCACCTACGTGTCCTCAACTTCTTCAGAAAATCGTCACTGCACTGTTTCCACAGCAACGCAACTTCGATTACCAGTTGGCGCCAGGCGAATTGGACGACATCCCACCTGTCACTGAAGAAGAACTGCTGGAGGCTTGTAACCGTGTAGGGAATAATAAAGCGCCGGGATTGGACAGAATCCCTAATTTATCCTTGAAAACCATCATAAAGGCAGCTCCAACATTATTCCTAGACGCTTATAATGCATGCCTCAAGGAGGGGACTTTTCCTCGTGTGGAAACAGCAACGATTGGTACTGTTACCTAAAGGGAAGAAACCACCAGAAGAACCGTCATCTTACCGACCACTTTGCATGCTAGATACGGCGGGTAAGATATTTGAGCGCATAATTCATCAACAAATAAATGCAGTAGTCGACCCACTCCTGGAAGACAACCAGTATGGATTCCGGAAAGGACGATCAACCCTGGACGCGATCAATCTGCTTGTTAGCACGGCTAAAGAAGCGATCGCAGGAACCAGATGGAAGGGTGGCACAAAGAAGTATTGCCTGGTGGCGGCATTAGACATTAAAAACGCCTTTAATTCCGCCAACTGGAACTGCATCATGCAAGCTCTTCGAGAGAAAAACGTTCCAGAATACCTGTGTAGAATAGTGGCCAGCTATTTCACCGATAGAGTGCTTAAATACGACACAAAAAATGGTCAAAAAGAGTACGATATTACCGGAGGTGTACCCCAGAGCTCTGTACTTGGTCCACTGCTGTGGAATATCATGTACGATGGCCTATTGAGATTGAAATTGCCAAGCAGTGTAAAACTCGTAGCGTATGCAGACGATGTAGCCGTAGTAATCGTCGCTAAACCCCTTGACGAGATTAACAACATGTTCGACATCACCTTCGAGTCCATCGGTGGATGAATACGGTAAACCTGCATCTGGCTACACACAAAACTGAGGCAGTGCTTATATCCAGCTGAAAAGTGTTAGAGACCATCAAGCTGAAAGTCGGCGAACAAGAAATCACATCACAACCTTATATCCGATATTTGGGAGTGATGCTTGATACCCATCTCAACTTTAAACAGCAAGTGGAAGACGTCAGTGCCAAAGCGTCAGTAGTGAGGGCTAGCCTCGCACGACTGATGCCGAACGTCGGAGGCCCAAAGCAGAGCAGGAGACAACTACTATCATCAGTTGTCACATCGGTGCTCACATATGGAATATCCATTTGGGCAGACGCGCTAAAGTTACAAGAATCATGGAGAAAAGCTGGACCAGTATATCGACTGAGCGCTGTAAGACTAGCCAGTGCATTCCGCACGATATAAGAAGTAGCAGTGTGTGTCATTTCAGAAACTTTGCCGCTCAGAGTTCTCGTACCGAGGAACTCAGAGCTGAAGAACGGCAGAACAGCATCGCACGATGACAATCGCAGTGGGACACCGCGACAACAGGAAGATGGACACACCGTCTCATACCGAAGATCGACGTTTGGCTGAACCGGAATCATGGCGAGGTCAATTACTATCTGATGCAGATGTTGTCAGGACATGGATGTTTTCGGACGTATCTTCACCGCTTCAAGCATGATGATTCACCGGAGTGCCCGTCCTGCCCAGGAATCAATGAAGACGCGGAGCACGTTTTCTTTGAGTGCCCACGATTTTACCCACAGCAAGATGAGCTGGAGATGATCCTGAAGAAGAAAATCCAACCAGAGAAAATAGTAGAAGCAATGCTGTCATCAGAGGCTGCCTTGAACGCCACAAACACGTTTGCAACAGAAGTCCTTATAGACTTGCGTTCCATCGAAAGAAAAAGAGCAAATGAAAACAACTAGAAGAAAAGTAAAATAATACCTTACACCTTATATAATACCTTATGATACCTTATAATACCTTACACACACACATGCATACATAGTGACAACCTCGCAGGGATAGTCAGGGAAGCTTCCTGCGACCTTTAAACGTCGTGATCTGATGAAAACTCGATGTTTGCAAAACGAGGTGAAATTAATAACTTCCCGATTTTTGAAAATCTTCGACTTTCTTAGCGGGAAGTTAAAAATCTGGAAAACCGTTGACTTTGCAGGCCATTTCTCAAACTTCCCTATATGTATGAATTCAAAACTCTTGAGAAATTATCTGTTCTGAAGTTTTGAGCTCTTCGAGCTCAAAAACACGACTTTTGTAATTATTCGAGCTCTTTGAGCTCGAAAATCAAGTGGTTGTTGGACACAGACTTTATTAAAAATTTTAAATTGCGAAATTTTCCGATCAAATGAATCTTTTTTGATGAGACTTACAATATTCGATGAAATTTTTTAAGCACAGAAAAACTATCCATTACTTACCAAACGATTTGACGTAAAATTTTTAAGTTATTTTAAAAAAACACTTTTTTGGAATTATCATAAGTTGAATATCTCATGAACGAATGCACCGATCTCGACAACATTGTTGGTGTTCGGCGGAGTTTCTCAAGCACTAATAGTTATTTTATCGCATTGAAAATGAATCGAAAAGAAATTCCACAGTTATTTGAAAAACACACACATCAAAGATTTATTATATATATGGGCAGATCCATTAATTCTCGACGAAAGTGTGCGCACTCAGGTCAACGATTTTGATGCTGATTTTTTCCTCAAAAGTACACCTTAAAAAAAGGCGATCCTGACAATTTGGACCTGATATAATCAAATCCGGCCGCTGGAGAATTTTTTGAATTTTTAAAAAAGTCGATTTTTCACTGATTTTCGAATATTTGTATCTCAGCTTCTATATAACTTAAAGACTCCTGCCCAACGGCATTTATCTCAGTAGACTCTCTACTTTTAAGAAAAAAATAAGTGTTTGGTCTAAACTCAAATAGGGCTTAGCTGACAGCCTCTAACTAACGAACTGTTTTGGTTAAATTTTACCTATTTGTAAAACACTAGTATACAGTGTTTGAAGTTGAGGATCGACCAGCAGCTAATGTCTTCTATTGGGATATACTTTAGTAGAATATATGCAATTTTTACTTGATTTCTTCTATTAAGTAAAGTTATAGCCGTCTAAAACCAATCAAATTTTAAACAATTGCAGTTTTCAGATGGTTAGAACTTTTTTCTCGGAACTTCGATTTCCTTCAAACTTTCAGGAAAGTTGCTTTATTATGTTCCTAAAAAGCCCTGAAAATTTAGGCTAGGGAATCGAGCTTGTATTCAAGTTATGGATTTTTTAATATTGCCAAAATTGCGTTAAATTTAATAAGGAATTCCTTTATAGTCATCATTTAAGGAGGTATTGGAGTTAAGTTGAAATAATGAGATCAATTCAAAATTTTTAGGGTCGATAGAAATATATTTAATACGTGTTGTGTTAAAATTTCAGAGACCTAGGGTACATAGTTTATTTATAAAACAAGATTAAAAATAGGTCATTTAACATTGTGATGACATACCAGATCTCACATTTACTCTTTTTTAATAAATTTCATGATGAAAAAATAATAAGAACGCTTTGAAAAACTTATGACAAAAAAAAAATTAGGAAAACGGTTGACCTTAAAGGCCATTCCTGCAACTTCCCGCTACCTCCATACCTAAGTGCCCAACAATCCACTTATTTTTTAAGCTCTTCGAGCTCAAAAATGTAATTTTTGTGTAATTTTGAGCTCTCCAAGATCAAATAAATCGCTGTTCTTTGCTTTTGAGCTCTTCGAGCTCAAAAGGCTAATGGAAGTTTTATAGAACACTATTTTTCGAATTTTCAAACCGCAATAACTTTTGAACTAATTAACCGATTTTTTCGCGGTTTACAGCATTCAACGCAGTTTTTTGAGTTCTTTGAAAAAATTTTGAGTGTAGACTGGTCAGACTAAAAATTTCATAGAAATTCTGAATAAAACATTTTTTTCAATTTTTTTCGACAACGATATCTCACGAACAAATCAACCGATTTTGACCGGGCTGGTGGCAATCGACGTGGTTTTTTGAGGTTAAGAGCTGATTAGTTTTTGGAATTGGTCGGTTCAGCCGTTTAAAAGATATTTAAACAAAAAGAATTTTTGGAAATTTTATTTTTGAGATTTCTCAATATTGATCGACTCAAATTCTGTGAATTAGTATCAGAATTCTAGGGGCAAAAGGACTCTTCAGAACGCC